AAATGATAAGGCTGAGAAGAAGCCTTCAAGAGTAGACTTCCTTCTAGAATTTACACGTTTATAGAACAGTCCCCCCCCAGTATTTCAGTTATCTTCGTTACTGTATAGCATTGCGTAAAATGGGATTCGAGCTTCTGTCAAAGTCTATGCATATAAATACAAACTTAATTGGTTGCGTGAAAATATCTTTCTATAAACATTGTGTTGGGGAAAACACCCCCAATTGTTGTTGAAAACCGTGTCGAGGAACCAAACCAAACGCCGATTAAATAGGGCCAAAACCAACCAAAATCAATGCACAAATAAAACACCAATTTTAACGTGGTTCGGCAATTGCCTACGTCCATGGGGCAAGAAGGGGATGGGGTTTTCACTAATAGAGAAGAAGAGTACAACTTGAGATTACAAATCACTCGAAGGAACAAACTAATCTCACAAACAAAGCTCTTAATCTCTCCAAATAAATCCTACTCAAATAGCTCAGAAAATACCTCTTTTCTGTGCTCCAAATATCCCAAACTCTTGCCTTAGAAACCCTAGAAACGTATATTGGTATTTATACAAACACCAAAACCCAATAAGAACAGGAAACCAAACATGGGCCTGACCCGCTACGCGGTCGACCGCCACGGTCGACCACACGACCAATGACAGAACCTGGAAAACTCCTACAGGGTCTGGCGGTCGACCGCGACAAACGACAGAGCCCAAATTCGCCTACAGGGTCTCGCGGTCGACCGCGTCAAAACCAGACTCCTCCTAGAGTCTGTGCACGTTCGCGGTCGACCGGCGTTACGCCACGGTCGACCGCGCAGCTTCCAAAGTGACTCCTGCGCTTCTAAAACCTGTTTTTTACCAAAATTCATCGCGGTTTCTTCAATTCTCCACCTCGGCGAAGTTTCTACCAAAACTGAGCCGACACCAACCAAGCCAAATGCCTCACTTGTTGCATCCAGTACGTCATGGTAACGGACTCATGAAAACGGATTCCATCCACACAAGTTGAGACCCAAACGGGAGTGCGAACACTCACCCAAACGTCAGTATCTACTCACCAAATTGGCTGCATCATAAAGACCGTCTACGTATCCTTTTGCCCAAAGAATCAAGCATTCACGTAGTTCAACCAAACGGCCTCCAAAGGCCCTCAAACAAATAGAAAAGTCTGCAACTCTTCTCCAATATTACCAACGGATCTGCAACTGATAGCGACCCCAAACTGATACAAATCAAACACCTCCATCTGAGGTGTCATGTCCACCAGCTGCAATCGAATCCAAAACCAATCCATCATCTACATCCGAATCCAAATAATCCCCAACCTGTGTCACCTCAGCTGGAATCCCAAATGACGTAGTATGATCTGGAGTATGTGAAATAAGTTTCACCCAACGTGAAGTAGCATCACCCTCCACCTGCTGCGATATCCAAACGACCTGATCAACACTCTCCACCTGCCTAGAGTCAAAAGTGACATTCCTGCTCAGAACAAAATCAGAAGCTCCCAAACAATAATCAAATGAGTCTCCGAATCCCAAACGCGCAATCGGATCAAATCTCACATCCTCGATGTGACTAAATACTGGGTAACCTAATATCCGACGTCGACCAAAATCTGAAGCAGCTCCACTAGATTCAATAACTCCTAATACAGCAGTCGACGACCTATGACTAAGATGACCCAAATATGTCGAAGCTTCAGAACCAATGCTCGACAACCAACGCCGATCCTCCTCCAGAATGGAACGACCCATCGAAACTGTCATCTCATCTTGTCATCCCAAAGTCTCCATACCAATGAAGTGTCTCCTATTGCCGTGAGCTCGGCACAAACGCAAGAAAGGACCCTTATCAAATCTAGAACATAACGAGTTATCCTTTCGGCCAATCACACTTCTTCAATGCTTGACGTTTTAGCGACTTACACCAACTGGACTGTCGCGTTCCCAAATAATGTTAAGAACAATCACCAACTATACTACGGAAACTACAAAAGATTAAAGCCTCTCCAATGATGCTCGCTTAGAAGCTCCCCAAATGCTGACTGAACACCCCTTAAGAAGTGCCACACTCGAATGCCATGGATAGAAGTTCCAACTCCACACGGTCTGCTCTCATCCTAATGGTGGCTCAAGAACTTTCATCGCAAGTCAAATCATTGCCTCATAAGCTAGGTCACGGCACACCAACAATCAAAACGCGCCAGGCAGCCAAACAACGTCACAATCTAGCCAAATGCCAATAAATCGTCAGAACTCTATCAATCACTCTGTGCTTACCAAGCAAATTATCTAAGTACTTCCTTTGACAACCCCATGTTTTTTTGTTCATGCACAATCATCGGAAGCTAAATTAACCTTCAAACGTGCATCCGCCAAGGTCACCCTATAGCCTGCTGCCTCCAAAGCTCCAAGTGAAATGATGTTCTTCTTCAACTGAGGAACGAACCTCACTCCAACTAATTCCCGAATCACTCTGTCACTCATCCTGATCCGAACGGTGCCAATACCACTAATAGGGCACTCATGATCATTACCCATGAGCACGAAATTTCCTTTTTTCAACTCCTAAAAGCTGGAGAATCAATCCCTCTTAGGGCAAATATGGTATGTAGCACTCGAGTCCAACATCCACTCTGTAGAGTAAGCAACACAAACAGACGGCAGTGCAGATAATGAGTAGCTCGAAGAATCTGAATCTGAATCGTTGTCACTAGCCTTGACAACATTCACTTCTGAAGTCTGAATAGCTTTCACCTTATTCTTCCCGGCTTGATCATTTAACTTTGGGCATTCAGTTTTCTAATGTCCATCTTCTTTACAAAAAGCACACTGATTCCTACGAATTCCAAGATGTGCCCCTCTAGACTGTGACCTTCTACCTTGGTTTGGACTCTTTACTCTTACAACCAATGCCCCCGCTACCGGCTCAATAGAAGTCTCCTTGTCCTTCTTCCTAAGTTGGTAATTCACTAATACAGCGGTGACCTCACTATATGAAAGAAATACCTTTCCATTAATAAAAGTAAGGACAAACGTCTCATATTCCTCGTCGGGCAAGGAAATCAACAATAGCAATGTCTTGTCCTCATCTTTAACAATGACATCTACATTCGCCAAATCTGCAAGAAGCTTCGTGTAGTGGTTCATGTGATCACTAATGGATGTTTCGTTCTTCAATTGGAAGCGATAAAGCCTCCTCTTCAAATACAAGCGGTTTTCGATGCTCTTCGTCAAGTACTTGTTCTCTAGGACTTCCCAAATCTTCTTAGCTGAAGTCTCATTCATCACATCATATTTTAGATCTTGAGTGAGACAAGACCTAATCACACCACACGTTGTCCGATTCATCTTTTTCCAAACCATCTCATCAATGTCGTCCGGTTTCCCGTCCAACTCCAACGTATCTTTCAAATTCTGCGCATTGAGCGCATCCAAGATTTCGCATCGTCAAAGTCCAAAATTGTTAGTGCCATTGAACTTCTTCACGTCAATCTTCATCGAGTGGATACTCAAACTTTGGACAGTCTTCACACCTGAAGAACCACCCTCAACTCCCTCTTTCTCAGCCATAATCCTCAACACACCAACAACCAATGCGGAAACAAACGAAGAATAGATCCAAATCTGAGAAAAGAAAGAAGTTTTACCAAAAAGATCACATCTTTCTCACCAACTGAAATCCTAGACGAGCTTCCCAAAACGATCTACTCCTCCAAATAGCCCAAGCGTAGCCCGAGCTCTGATACCAATTGTTGGAGAAAACACCCCCAATTGTTGTTGAAAACCGTATCGAGGAACCAAACCAAACGCCGATCAAATAGGACCAAAACCAACCAAAATCAATGCACAAACAAAACACCAATTTTAACGTGGTTCGGCAATTGTCTGCGTCCACGGGGTAAGAAGTGGATGGGATTTTCACTAATAGAGAAGAAGAGTACAACTTGAGATTACAAATCACTCGAAGGAACAAACTAATCTCACAAACAAATCTCTTAATCTCTCCAAATAAACCCTAATCAAATAGCTCAGAAATACATTTTTTCTGTGCTCCAAATATCCCAAACTCTTGTCTTAGAAACCCTAGAAACGTATATTGGTATTTATACAAACACCAAAACCCAATAAGAACAGGAAACCAAACATGAGCCTGACCCGCTACGCGGTCGACCGCCACGGTCGACCGCGACCAATGACAGTCACTTACAGGGTCTGGCGGTCGACCGCGACAAACGACAGAGCCCAAATTCGCTTACAGGGTCTCGCGGTCGACCGCGGCGATCGACCGTGCCAAAACCAGACTCCTCCCAGAGTCTGTGCACGTTCGCGGTCAACCGGCATTGCGCCACGGTCGACCGCGCAGCTCCCAAAGTGACTCCTGCGCTTCCAAAACCTGTTCTTTACCAAAATTCATCGCGGTTTCTTCACATTGTACCATTATGACTGAGTAAACCTTTCTGTAAGGCATCATCATCATCATTTATTTATTGCGTAAAATGTTGCGCAACAATTACCATTATCATGATGCAGCTATGGTTTTCATTGCACGAGCTCTGTGAAAGGGTTACATCTAGTTGAACCATAAAGGAAATATTATCCTTTATAAAGCATTAATTTTCTTCAGAAACCGACGTCCCGTATCTTGATCTTTTATCTTCTTACCATGAGCTGCTGCGCAATATTACTTTTTATTTAATTGTTTTCTTTCCTTTGCCCTGGCGC